AAGCATCACGGTAGAAGTTTTAGACGCGTAGCACCGACAGATAGACATAGCTATCTATCTGTGCTACAGTAGGAAAATCTGACGAGGTAGCACAAATATTCAGAACAAGGAATTATATTTACTTAAAACAAGCTTTTGTTGAAACGTTACTTGTAAGTAAATTTTGTCTCATTTCAAGTGTAATAAGATATTTGCATTAGAATCGACACCAAAAGTACTTGGTAAGATTTTTTTTTTTTTTTTTTTTTTTTTTGTAGTGCCCCACTTTTGAACTAATGTCTGACCAACAAAACAGCGCTTAGAGCAGATAACGACCCACAGCCTGCGGCGTGTCTGTAATAAACGGATAAAAGAGCAGGACACGCAAAAGCCGCCTATCCACGGGGAGCTGAAGCGGTCCAACAACTGGTTGGACTGGCTTGTCCTCCCTCTGCTGTGATGTCACCATCCAATAGATGAGCGGCTGGCGGCTGCGAAGCAAGCGCATATGTATGCGGTCCGCCGCCTCAGCGCATCACAGCGAGCCGCAGCTGACAGCTTTTCCAGGTTAGACGGGCTGGAAACGGAGCATTCAAGGAGAGAGAACAAGACCAGCTAGATTTCCAACAACCACCGGTCATCATCCGCATCCAGCTGAGATATAGAGGGTTTCTCTTTGCCTTCTTTCCCCTAGGCCCCCTTACCTACTGCATCTTTTCTCTCTCTCTCTCTCTTTTTTTTGAAGGAATAATGATGATGTTGATGATATTCTAACGCACAGATGACAGCATAAGCAGGGCGGTGAGCTGTCAAACACCCCACTGCAGCCTCTTTGTTGAGAAGGATCTGTAGCTACTGTCTCTGGACATGAATTCGGCGGAACAGACGGTTACGTGGTTGATCACGCTCGGGGTGCTGGAGTCGCCGAAGAAGACCATCTCGGATCCTGAAGCCTTCCTGCAGAGCTCCCTAAAGGATGGGGTGGTTCTCTGTAAGCTGCTGGAGCGGCTCAGCCCGGGCTCCACGGAGAAAGTAAGCGCAACACTTCCCCTCTTCCTCCTCCTCTTCTTCCTCCTCTGTTTAACCCAGGCAGCCGCCCGGCCTGTCCATCCGTCGGCGCGTCTGTCCACGTCCGTGACACCGACGCGGCGGTTTGTTGTCTGGCCTCTCTTTTTGTCCACTGATCCATGAGAGAATTTCTTTTGTAGGTCACGGCGGCTCTTGTTATTGTCTGCCGTATAGCAGCTTGCGCATATGTTGCCCGTATCAGCGTGTTAAAAAAAAAAAAAAAAAACAGAAAGGCGCTCGTCTGCTTCCTATTGATCTGCCATAAATAAGGCTGCTTCGCGTTTATTAATATTACCAGGAAGTGTTAAATCTAATAGGCGCTTTATGGTGTTTTCAATGAAAGCCGCCGACTATGATGCAGAAAATGCAAATCATTTGATAACCCCGGCTGTGACAGCCCGTATGACACCATCCATGGTTTGCATGTCATGTTGGTGCACATACTGTAGGCCTGTGGGGATCAGTGAGGGGATGAGAAGATGTTATCTGTACACAGAGCATCAGTAAGAATGGGCCGCCATTGACAGCAGAGGTGCACACAGGCAGAGATGGGCTCTTTTCCCAATTTAAAGAAACAGCGCAGCGTTTGTCTGTCAGAGTCGCAACAGCCTTAATTATTGGGATTCGACACCATGCAGTGCAAAAATAATGAATTATAAGAAAAGTTGTATTGTATTTATGCTCTATTTATTTATTATTACATATATTTCATATTAAAATCTGGAATATATGTCCTGTACCACTGAGTAAATACTTTTACTGCAGAACCACTCTTTGCTGCAATATTAGCTACAGGCTTTCTTGTGTTTACCATTTGTGTATCTATAGAATAAACAGGGAAATTTATGTAGTTCAAGTTCATTCTGATCAGATTGAAGAAGTACGTGAACGTATATTTTAAAGCCTTCATAAATAATCTTGAATTTACTTCTCAAATGTCTGGACTTTGACTAAGCCAATATAATGTGAATAGGGCCATTCTCACGAATATATATAAAAATACTGACTTAAAATATATTGTCATTGTGCTCAATTACAATTGCAAAGTTTCTACTTGGAAGCAATAGGTGAATAGATATTATATTTCAAATGTCATGGATGAAAATTCTGCTTGCAAGGTATATGTTAAGCATGTTGGGTGGACATTTGCAATCCTTTATGTCAACACTGGATGTACATTTTTTGGATGAAAGGCTAAAGCTTGCAAAGATTGAAGGTATTGTGACATTGTCATACTTGGTCCTCGGGCAGAGGAGAGATGACGAGATAAGAAAACAGCTGGGGAGGGGAAAAGCTGGTAGGCAGGAAGGTGAAAGATAAATAGGGACGGACACAATCTAAGTAGCCTAACTCTAATGCACAAATAATAATAACCCAAGAAGCAAACACAGAAATGAACTAAAAAGAAGAAAACCAAAAAAGAGAAGATCAAACAGAAACACAAATGAAACCAAAGTACAAACACCTAGCAGACACCAGGAAAAAGAAAGACAACTTTTTTTAAATTGTAATTTATTCATCATCATCACAATATTCATAAAAAGAACTGAAATGAAAAGTTATAACTATCATGTATCATCATGGAGAACATGCGATCTCCATGCAGAAACACTTGGATCAAGAATCGAACCTGGGACCATCCGTCTGTAGGGCAACAAGGCAAAAGAGAGTTCCACTGTGCAGCCCCATTCTAATGGTGTATTGATTGCAGGATCTAACAAGATCTTGGACAGCATAAGACTCACTGGGTAATAATCTTGAATAAAAGTACTATAGTTTCAAGCTACCCCACACAAAAAAGTAAAAAGTTTAAAACATTGGTTTTATTCAAAACAGAAAAGCAACGTTTGCACTTAATGCTGCAAAAATAATATGACCTATAGCAATCTATCAACAATAACCTGAAAGTTTTTTCTTTAGTATCTGAACACATAAAACACTGAAAAACAGACTGTTTTCCCCTGTTTTCTATTTCTCACTTTGGTTGTCTCAGTTTTTTTTTTTTTTTTTACACATTTGTATCTGCTGTGGGACTTTTGCACATTTTACTGAATGTGTAGTATTTAGTATGTAGCTTACTGTTATCTGATTGGCAGTGTGCAGAAACAGGTTGTGTAGGGGAAATGTTGTGGGTCTCTACAGCTGGAACAAAGCACCAGTTACTCCACCACTTTTTCTAACCTTTGTTTAAAAAAGATTTCAAACTATATGACTTGTGCAATTTTTAAACTGTAACTTTTAAAAATCTTGATATACTTTGATACTGATAACTGATGTCTAAATGTACCGCGCGTGCTTTGTGATAAGTTGAGTCACATCTTGTGCGAGTCTGCATCATGCTGTGTTGGATCATAATTGCAAAGTCGTAATTATAAGTTGTTTGAAATGAAAAACTGGGTTTCTTGGTAGAGAAATTAAAGATAATAGTAGTCAAGAATGTCACAAGCACAGTGGCCCTCTTACAGTAACGCATATTAGAAGCATAAAGAAAACTTTAACTTGAATTACTTTTAAAATAATTTCGACATCCCCACAACTTGAAGTCTGTCAGCACAGACGGTGCATCTTTGGCTTATTCAGTTCTGTGATGTAACACGTCCAGACTGATTGAGTGATATACTTCATTATAAACTTTCCTCCATTTCACCCATCCTTCAAACTGACTTAATGGGTGGAGAGACTTGTGACAACTATTGTTAGATTACACATGAAAAGCAAGCCTTTCATTGTGGTTTGCTGGAGCTTCACAATCCTTCACAGAATTTAAATGAGATCTTTAGGTGATTGCTTGCGTCGTTAAGAACAAACAACTGGTCTTTGAGAAAAGTGATGAATGTTGGTATCCTCTTGTTTTTAATATGATCTAATATTATAAATCTGTTCAAGCTATTATTATATTATCCAGCCTAAATATTGTTTACTCACTGTCCAGCCTATCGTGTTTGTAGGCTATACCAACATGCTGTTATAATAAAACTACGTTGCTGCACACTACTGATAAACTTAAAGCATCTTATGGAGATTGGAGTATCAATAATATGCTAAAAAAAATAGAAGAAACAAGTTGATTTGCAGTTGCCAATACGATCCCCTTATTTATTGATGGCCATTGTTACAATTACAGAACTTATAAGAAGTGTAAGACAATGAACAGTACAGATACTTGAGCTAAATTGTAATGAATGGTAAAAAAAAAATAATCTTTTAGCAATATTATACCATGACTTACAGCTCCTTAGATTATTCTAGTTTTTAAGTAAATCCTTCACTGAGCACACATGCAATGACAATTTTTAAAGCATTTACGTTTTACTGCTTCACCATTAAGCCTCTTAAGTTCCTGGAGATTAATACAGTTTTTACACCTTAAAGATGATGACGCGAAGTGAGGCCACATTTCATCCTTCAGCGTAGAGCATCTGAGCGTGGACGTGCTCTCCTAGTGTGTAAATGCATTAAATCTCTGGTTTGATTATTTAAGAAAAAATTGGATTTCACCACAAATCTTAAAGGAGCCACATTTATGATTTGGTGAATTTAAGGTGAATTTTGACAACAGGTTCCTGACCGTTTTTCCTCTTGTACTCTTGTACACGAACTTTTAATATACAGTACCTAGACAGTTTTTTGTGCATGTTTCTGTTGTGATGTCTGAAATTGACAAACTGAGTAAGTCCTCCTTCTGCTGGAATCCACTCATGTCTGGGGACACTGGTCTCTGTTAAGAGCTGAATCCACAATTTGAGTAAAACTATGTAAACCAGACTAGACCGGCATTAATCTCGGATTGTTTGGAAGCAGTTATGGGTTAAAATTCATAGACTGCCACTCCAAACTGTGTGGAAGCGTGTAGACATGGTTTCTTTTGAGTGAACTGCACTGAACCTGACTTTCAGAAAGAAAAGAAAAAGGCAGAGCTTCTATCGGGATTATAATCCACTTTCTTCAGGCATCAGACAATTTCGCAGTGGTTAAGCTCTGACACTAAATTTAAATAATTTCTACTGAGAAGAAGCACATATTCACATGTCTCACGCACAGAAAATGCAGTGTTAAAACTGCTCTGTGAAATTGCGATTGCTTTAAGCATAAACACTGAAAACAAATTTTACTTGTTAACATGTCAAAAAAAATCTAAATCTAAAAGAAAGCTGTAATGAAAATGTCTTGTCCCTTTCTTTATCTCCAGACAGCCTCTGAAAGCAAAAGTTCATGCTTCCTTTAAACAAATTCCACAAAGGTTGGCAGATATTATCAACGTAATTTAATGTAAACTTTGTGAAACACTGTAACGGTTAGCACTAGTGGCTGGATTGAAATGTTCTGCTTGCAAATAAAAATACAGAACTCCTGTTGGGATTTAAAATTAACCACAACAATGACAAATGAAAAAAAAAGGAGCATAAACCAGGATAGAAAATGCTGAGGATATTCATTCAGTGAGAAATGTTTAGGATCTGTCCACCACAAAGCTCCATGGTGTTAATTCAGTGTGCGTACAAAAAGTCATCCCGCCTCAGCAGGGCCATTTTCAGGGCCTGCTTTTGCCCTGGTTCCTACAGTACAAAGGAGAGAAAATCGAAATTGCACTAACCTAGTTCCTGAAAAAGTTCCTGCAAGGAGAAACACGCTTCTAGTGGCAGAATTGCAAACTGCAAGGAGTCGAAAACATTTCATCTTAAAATTTCCACATCTTCCTTATAGCCATTGTTTTTTTTTTTTGTTTGTTTTTTTTTTATGTGTCTGGGCTACTGTGGAAATAAAAGCGAATCAAAAAAAGATTTAGAGTACAGCTGTGTAAATGTTAAATATTTTTTAAGCATTGTTCCGTATAATTATTTTACTACTTCCAAATATAAACATTTTGTTATTGTAAAGGAGGTTATTGTAAACGTCTTGCACCATCATCATCATCATCATCATCATCATCATCGGTGGGGGATCCCTATTTGGCAACGTCATTTCCTCGACTGAGTGCTTCCAGCCTCCTTTACTTCCCCACGGCTCGGTTTGTGTGCAGCCTCCAGAAGCGTCGGGCCCAATGCACACCGAAGCTGTAGAATGCGTGCTGAAAAAGAAGCGAGACTTTAAAAGCGAGCACATTCCCAAAGGAGCTCGTTGCGAGCAGTAACTCGTCCGCAGCGTGAAGGAGGAGCAGTTTATCGATACCAAGCGTTTCCGTCACCCTTTGTTTTTGTTCCAGATTTATCCAGAACCGAAGAACGACGGCGAGTGTCTGAGCAACATAAAGGAGTTTCTCAAGGGCTGCACATCGTTCCGCGTCGAGGTGAGTACACTTCTTGGGGAAAAAAAATAAAAATAAAAAAATACTGGGTTACATTTCACTCCTCTGGACAACCATATCCCGAAAGGAGGTGCTTTCTGAAACGTCGAGTTTGCATGTTTGGGAGGATATGATAGATATAAGTGTCGTGTTGTTGTGGAGCGGACTCTCGGAGCTCCTGACAGAAAAGGGGGAGGAGGAGTGAATTTGCTACCGAGAACAATCACCTAAAGCCCGGCTGAGAGAGCTTTTGCCTTCCCGTACAAGTGGCGGTTCTAACAGGACTGCATTTTAGTTGAATACAGGATTTAAACGAGGTCTGTTTACTTTTCTCGGCTTATTTCTGGAAGCGTCTGGGTAATGTTGACGCCTTTTGAATTAATGCAAAGCTTTGTCCAGGGGCTGGTGCTTGGCTTTATTGTCACCAGCAGTTCACTCTGGCCATTGTAGATCATCTTCCACCCTACAGCTGTGAACAAAGACTTTATATATTTAAGTACAACTGGGATTTTTCTAACTTGGTTATAGCTACTCGCTATATTGTTTCAAAGTGTTGCAGATCCTTATAGAAATGCATTGGGTTTCTGTATAGAAATACAATGGGAATGCTACCACAGCCTAAAGCAAATTAAGGACAGAGTGTTGTTTATCTCTGTGTATTGGCCAGTGCATAGATGGGTCATTGAACCAGTCTGACAATGCAGCTCAGTGTTCCTCAGCGTTGCTTCTCTCCCTGCAGAGCCTCTGGCCACTGAGCCAGAAGAGCAGCACAGAGCACTGTCACACTGAGTTTTTGAAACATGCAAATTAAAAGTTGGACAACACAGGATGCAAGAGAGGCGAAGGCAGTGTGCGTGACTATTTTATTGGTAAAAAGGTCTGCGTTTGTCCTGGCGTGCTGCAGGGCCAGGACTTGACGAGCACTGTTGAGACATAAATTGCAGATTTTTGCCAATGTGATTCCATATCTAATCTCTTCCCTCATAAGCATGAAACTAACTGGGGTATCGTAATACCGTTTCAGACCCAGTCATGTGGCTTAAAGTCTGTTGGTAGAGATGGAAGGAAAAGCACAGGGTTCCCTCAGGTTGAGTGTAGCGTAGGCAAATGGAGCACATCCTTTCAAATTTCTCCTAAATGCGAGTCCTTTGTGCCAGCACAATCACTTTAGCACAAAGGGATTCACAATTGTCTGTTAAAACTGGAGTCATGTCTTAGTCTGCTACACTTAATGGGTTCTTGCATGCAAGATTTTGATCAGATATGTGTGACCTTTTTTAGTGAGGTCGGTAAAGCAGGATTACAGTAATTTGTGTTTTGGCAGTCAGCCGCTCACCGTCTGCAGAGCCAAAATGAGCAGTCGGAGCTCTGCTGGCTCTGACCTCTGTTAGCTTTGGTGGCAGATAAGAGGAATTACTTAAAATATGTGAAAGACACATAGAATGATGCTTCGCTTTTACAGCTCTGTCAGCTTCCTGTTGGTGGAGTTAATTTACCCGTTTGTATATGTTGCTCATGCAAATGAATGATCTGCTTTACATCTAATTTGGATACTTGGTTCGGTCGTTGTGCCTGACACTTGTGCAGCTGCTCATGCCGACCTCTTAACCTCTTGTAGTTTTGACCATAAGAATTTCTCTTTATTGTTCCCATGACCTCTCCTGTGCCTGTGGGTAGTTACCTTCAACCAAGCATCTACCTGTTGATTCATTACAAACCAATCTTTCATCACCTGTGGGAAAACGCGCAGTTGTGTGTCCCATTTTGACTCGTGTCAAATTATTTTGAGAAAACCATCCGCTGATACCTTCGTCTCCAAAAGTTAAATTCTCAGAATGTCATCGAGAAACTTAAACAAGATAAGCCAATTTATCTGTGGTTCGGAAGTCTTTGCATCATTGGCTTTGGTGAATTTGTCGGCTTTATTTTAAATTATAAAAGCCAAGTATTCATATTATAATTTTAGCTGATTGCATGTAAGCTGGAACCATTTTATCATAGAACTGATTAAACAGGATACGTTATGATCCATTTGGTAATTATTCATTTGTCCTCCTTGGAAATTGAAAATCCTGTGATGTCAGTGGTGACAAAATTATTATTATTAAAAAATTGGGATTTTTCTTACCTCAGTCAAAGTTGAATAATTTCTCGTATTTTTGTTTTTTCTTTTTTTCTAAAATCATATTTTAATATGTCAAATTTTCAGACCTTACAGATGACTGGGATTTCAAATAAGATCCCTCCCGTCCCCCAAAATGTTCTTTTTAACCAAATTTATTAAAACTACTATTTCCTAATGTATGGTGTGTGTTTACATCAACAAACCAGAGGTAGAGAGAGAGAGAGAGAGAAAATAAAGGTTGGAGACATTTGCCATTAGTGTATTTTTGTGCAGTTTCAGTGTTGGCTCCTGACAGTTGCTAAAAAAATATAATCAACACTAAAAAGATTTTTACTGAAATTATTTGGTCTCAATCAACCTTGTATCTTCACAGTCTGCTGTTTAATCTCAAATGAACATAATTTTAAATATTCCTGGGTCCTGCTTTGGTGCATAAATGGGAATAATCATATAGTGCAATGGTGTCCAAAGTGTGGCCCTCAGGGCCATTTGTGGCCCTCAGAATGATTTTGTGTGGCCCCCTTCATGCAGTTTAAGAGTGGTACAAATTTGACTGACCAGCACAAGAAGTTCATAGTTTGCAACAAGCATTTTCATTTAAAAAAGGTGATTCACAATTTGTTCTTGTTGATGAGAACAACATGTCAACTGATCCTCAAATATTATAAGTGCAAGACACTTTTATATTTCTGATCTAATATGAAATACAGATCAGTTATTCTGCAAAAAAAAACTAGTTTCTTGTATTAAATTGTTACAAGTTTAGTTTAGTTTGAACATAACATAGCATTACATTTAATTAACTTATAAAAGTTACATGCTGTAGCTTTAACTGCACAGTTTTGGCCAATAGGTTAAAAGTTTGGACGCCGCTGATGTCATGCTTTAATTTTCTGTTGGATCTTAAAGCAAACTTTGCCATTTATTTGTAAAGTTTAACCAAAATCCGTGTGTCTTTACAAACGCAGCCTTTTTCCGCTTTTATTCACAAGAAATTCTGTCGACCACATTTATTTTTAAACCTTCTGGCGTGATGAAAAGCTTAAACTTGATACTTACGGTATTTAGCTGATTTTATTTCCCTGAAACAAAAATAAGCATATTTTCACCTTCTCTGGTATTTATATATGATCAGGTGGTCATTGAGGACTCTTCTGTTTTTAGGCACCTCGAAACTATTTCTCGAATTTGGCTTCGTCTTTTAAAACGCTGTATTAAAATTAGGTGAAAATAGCCACTGTGTATAAATAAATGTGAACTTGGAACAGAATTGTATATTTTCTGTCCCTTACTTTGCAAACCACATGGTGTCAAGCACACATTTCTCTAATTATTAGCACGTTGAGTCAGAGTTGGGTGTTGCTCTGTTGTCTGAACCTCTCGGCTCAAGGAGCCGCTCTTTACTGTGATGCTGGAGAGCAAGAGACAAGTCTAAGCTTGTAATCTTAGTCATTCTTATTACCTCCCTAATCTTTAATACTCATCATTTGTTGCGTATTGAGAAGGAGCTGCTGTCGCTTTGTAAATCAGACAAAACAAAGGGGTCAAAAATGTCTCCAGTGTTCGAGTTGTGGGGACTCTGTTATCAGTGTAAACATGGAAACATCAGAGTGTTTGTGTTGCTTCTAGACGTTTCAAAGTATCGTCGTGCAACAGTTCAACCAAGCCGAACATGTTTTCACTTTCAGGCAGCATACACGCTTTTTCATGTCCAGCTATTGTTGAATCGAGGTGACTTCTACCACAAAACCTTAAAAAAAAAAAATACTTAACAGCTTACCTGCAATTTTGCTCTTTGTAAAATAACATCAGATTATTTGCAAATGGAGACTAGCTTGTTGTGTAATCGTGTTATCTTGATTTCATGTCTACAGTGTGCTGTTTATTTTACCAACGGGCCTGCTATTTTCAGCTTGTTTCTAATTGTTCGATTGAAACCACTGTTTTCTCAAAAAGCGGTGGTCATCCTTTGGTTGCTAATCCATTGTCTGCGCTTTTCAGTTCTGGGGAAAATCCATAACCAAATTTGTAACAGCTGGCTCGGTCATACAGAAGGGGGAAAGTTGAGGGTGTTTCCACTGCAACAAATTTAACTGACTGCTTCTTGCTTAAATTTTGTAACGCTCCAACTTGAACTCGAGTTTTTCTTTGAGAAATATAGATATGTTTTTCCACTCGTGCTTCTTTCCTGGATAACTTTGAAAGCCCCCCTCAGGTGTTTTTGTACTTTTTTTTTTTTTTTTTTTTTTTTTAAATTTTTTTTTGGGGAAAACCCCCCGGGGCGTTTTTTTTTTTTTTTTTTTTTTTTTTAAAAAATTTTTTGGGGAAAA